ATCAAATAAATATTTACTTGTTTCAAATAATTTTTATTTAAACTAATTAAATTTGTTAATGTTTTTTTAAAATCAATTTCAGATTAAATACTGAAATTATTAAATTCAATTTTTTTGATTGAAATACAAATTATTTGATTCAATAAATAATGATACATTTCTTTTTTGATAATAGACAAGTAATCGATTAGCTAAATCAACTCAATTTTTTCCAGTGTAATAAAGAATTGTATAAATATTATAATATAGAATTTTTATTAATTTTTTTAATTTTTGAAAAATTTTAAATTCATTATTTTCAATTTTTTTAATATTTTAATTTAATGAGTAAAAATTTTGAATTTAAAAAACTTTTAATTGTATATAATTTGATGTACATTTAATTGTTAATTTTATATTTTAATTTTAAATTCATTAATTTTTTTTTATCATTTTAATTTAATTAGTAAAATTTTTAATTTTAAAAAACTTTTAATTGTATATAATTTGATATATATTTAATTGTGAATTATAATTCACAATTAAATTTGTATCAAGTAATGTGCAATTAAAAGTTTTTTAAAATTAAAAGTAATGAATTTAAAATTTTTTAAAAATTAAAATCTTTAAACAGAAATATATAAATATTTATATGAATACAGAATGTTAGATATTTTTAATGGGAGAAAAAAGGAGTATAAACTTTACAAGGCGGTAGAGCATGCAAAATAATTTTCCGTATCGAAACGTCTCGTTATTCTGATGGGGCTGAAGTCATTGGGACTATAAAGTATAGTAGCTTTCTCTAGCCTCTTTTTATAAACGCTTTTTATAAAAGTTAACCGGGTGGGCGGCATATCATATCGTCGTTATTGCAATTGTCGATCGCTCGCCCTGATTTCAATGAACAGTGAAACGAATCATCATCATCATTATCATTATCATCAATTGCGTGATCATTGATCATCATTAATAAATTATCAAAAGGATAGATAGCTCCTTTAATAATAGATATATATATATATATATATATATATATATAGCTGATTTATTCTAAATGGCTTCTTCTTAGGTCATGGATTAACCATGTACTCGTATTTAATATTAACGAGAGATGAAACCCGTTTTATTATCTTATCTATATTCTCACTTGCATTAGACAATATAGATTGAATTATCTACCTTCTTGAATTTATTTATCCATGGTATTTATCTTTAAAGGTAACTTACATTTTCAATACTAGATTTACTATGTGTAACGGAGGTTCCTTTTTTTCTCTTCTCTTTTATTGTAATAAGGTTCGTTTTCTTTCAATGAATAAAGTAAAGATTCATCAATTCGTTAAATTGAATTTTATAGAAAAAAAAGAATACAAGCAAGGTCGTATCAAATCCTTGACGAAATAAGTCAAGGTTGATCCAAATTCATTAATACGGTTACGTATTATTTTGAAAGGGAAATTTTTAATCAATTTTGTGAGACGATCATTCACTCTATGGAGAATATATGTTTCTTTGAATCGAGGAAATATTTTTTTGTCTTGGAAATTTCAAGTCATGAAAGTGATTTTTTTTAGGAAACAAATTTTCTTGTTTTTTTGTTCTCAGTCTACTTGATTTTGAAAAATGTTTGTAATTTTGAAAAGAGGTTTTTAATTTTGAGGAATATTTTTAAATTCCTATTGTTTTGTCGCTTATTTTTTTTTAATATTATTATTTAATTATTTAATTATTTAATTATTATTTAATTATTTAATTATTATTTAATTAATTAATTATTATTTAATTAATTAATTATTATTTAATTAATAAATAAATGTAGATTTTTTATATTAATTAAAAATGTCTCAATTATTTTAAAATGTTCTAATTCTTTTCAATTATTATTTAATGAATATATTTTTATTGTGAATCTAACGAGATATAGAAGAATATCGAAAAATTCGAATTTGGAGAAATATTAACAAAAATTAGTAAAAATTACTAAATTGAATTTGTGACTAATTTAAGATTTATTGGAAACTAAGGATATTTTTTGTTACACGAAATATAAATTTTTCTAAAGTTCTGAACGTTCAAATAAAAGAAATTTTTTTTGTTTCGATATTTTTAAAAATTTACTAAATAAAATGGAAAAAGGAAATAGTAATGAAAATAGTAATTAAATATTTTTATTTAGTTAAAGATTCCTTTCTTTATGAAGAGAAGAATAATTATTTTTTAATAAAACACAAATTGAATGAAGTAACAAAGATTTTGTTCGTTTGAACATTGCAAATTTGGGGAACTTAAACAAAATAAATTAAGATTCATTTTTAGTTTTTATTAATAAATAATCTTTTTTTTTATTAATTTTTTATCATTTTTATTTTTATTAATTTAATGTTTTATTAATTTTTTACGCGTATCTATTAATTTAAATTTTCTATTTTATTAATTTTCAATTTTGATTTTCGAAATCGAATTCGAGTCGAAAATTTTCGATTTAATTTTTTTTTTATGGAAAAATTCTTCTTAGGAGTAAATTTTCTATTAAATATAAAATTTACATAAAGAGATTTTATCGAATAGCAATTTTTCATATTTTCCATTTTCAATATTGCATATTTCCGTCACACAATTTAGTATAACATATAGAATCTTTCTTTTTTTGCAAAATGCAATTTTTCCCATAAAGAACAATATATATGACTAAAATCAATATTCTTTTGGAATTACTTTGAAATGACAATTAAATTCGTGACATATTTTTTAATTATCTCGAATATAAAATAATTTTTAATAGAAGATAAAAGGGAATTATTGAGAAAAATAAATTGCTTTCTTGATTAATGTTTCGATACAGTTTCAAGTTTAAAAAATTTAGAACTTTTAATTAAATAATTTAATTTTTCTTCAAATGACAATTTTAACGACAATTAGAAACGGTTCTTATTAATTTTTTTGTTTATAAATAAAAAATGCATTTGGTTAGAAATATTAATTTTGTTAATTTAGTAAAAATTGAATGCTATTAGATAAAATTAAAATAAATTATTTACAGTTTATAAATATTCATTATTAAGATTTTATTTTAGTTAATTCAAATTATTGAATGTTAATTGATTAAAAGTATTCGATTTTAATTAATTCTAGTATCTAATTTTAGTTAATTCAGGTACTAAATTTTAATTAATTCAAGTATTTAACTTTAGTTAACTAAAGTATTTATTTTTAATTAATTCTAGTATTTAATTTTAGTTAATTAAAGTATTCAATTTTAATTAATTCAAGTATTCAATTTTAGGTAATTTAAGTATTCAATTTTAGTTAATTAAAGTATTTAATTTTAATTAATTCAAGTATTCAATTTTAATTATTAAATGTTTTAAGTTTCAGTTAATTAAATTATTAAGTTTCAAACAATTAAAAGCATTAAATGTTAATTATAAGTATTAAATCCACTAGGAAAGCATTTTATTTGAAACAACTAAATTTTGCTTGAATAAACCAAATAAATACATTGCTGTCAAACTTTTGTTGTTGTCAACAAAACAAAATTTGTTTTTTTTTTCAACTAAGAATTTACTTCAGTTGATGAAATTTTTTCTTCAAACGAAAAAATTTGTTATAATTAGCCAAATGTTTATTTATGTAAAAAAATATTTATTTAGGTTCAATAGATTTTTATTAGAATGACTCAAACATAACGTTTATGCAACAAAATTGAGAATTTGATTCAAACATAATTTTTTTAAGTGTTTCAATTAAAGATGATTTTAAAGTTTTGAAGATATCACTGAACGAAATTTATTTATTTCTTCTTCAAATTGAGTTTTTATTACAATTATTTTGCGACAGTTTCAAAGAAAAATAATTACAACATTTTTAAATGTAGAATTTTAGTTTCTAATTTTCATTGTATTCAATAATTTAATAAAATGAAAATTCCATTTAATTAAATTTAATTAAAATGAAAATATTTTTATTAAAGAGGATTTTAGAAAAATATTTCGATTTGAACTTTCAAAACTTGTCGATATCAATATCCTCTCTAAATTTAAATTTTGAAAAATGTTTACTAATTTTAAATAGTGACTGATTTTTTTGCTTTTAAATTAGTAAATTTTATTAATAAATTGGTGGAAAATAATATTTATTAGTCAAATTTACTAATTAAAAAGGAAAAACTCAGTCACTGATTCGAATTTTATTTATTTATTTATTTATTTAAGGAATTAGTAAACATTTTTAGTAATTCCAATTTAGAGTTCTTTTTTTATTGAATTAATTTAATTAAATTTTTCACTCAATTAGTTTAATTTTTTTTTTATTAATTAATTTAATTAAATTTTTTACTGAGATAACTCAAATTTAGAGAGTTCTTTTTTACTGAATTAATTGAATTGTTCTTTTCATTCAATTAATTCAATTTTATATTTTATTGAATTAATTTAATTCGTGTTTTTATTCAAATAATTTGATATAATTTTTTATTTAATTGACTTAATTTCCTTTTCTTTACACAATTAATTGGATTTAATTTCTTATTCAATTAAGTAAATTAAATTTTGTACTGAAATAATTTAATTTCTCAAATTTAGTAATTTTAGTGGAAAATACTGTCACGGAGAAAAATATAAAGTAGCTTTTACTACTTTTATAGTAAAAAATTTCCAGTAAAGCATTTCTAGTAATTTTTACTACTTTTGGAGTAAATTTTGCTACATTCGAAGTATATATTTGTAAAAATTAGTAAAATTTACTTCGAACGTTGCAAAATTTACTCCAAAAGTAATAAAAATTACCAGAAATTTTTTACTATAAAAGTAGTAAAAGTTACTTTATATTTTTCTCCGTGTATTTATGAATGAAATTTATTTATTTAAGACCAAAAAATCAGTCATTAATTCAAATTTAGTAAATGTTAATTTAAAGTACTAAATATTTGTTAAAAGCTATTAGTTGGAAGTACTAATTGTTAATTAAAAATATTAATTTTTTTATTAGTTTAGGTTATTTTTTCATAAAAGAGAATTTACCGTAAATCGATGTAAATATTCGTATTCCGTGTTCAAAAGGTTCGTATCATAACGTTAGGACAAATTCCAAATCAGCATTCAACTTTGGTTTCACAGAAAAAAAAAGAAAAACCTCTAAAGCGTGTTTCACTTTTTCCTCGAACGGTATATTTTTTTTTCGAACACTCTAACACTGTAATCCTAATTAACAAAACGATGTCCGTAATAAAGAATAAATTTAAAAATCATAAAAATAACTGGCAAACTTGGCGAATGAGGTTCCTGGTTAAGGAAATGAATAAATAAATTCCAGATCATTCGGCGTCACTTTTTTTTTTTGAAATAATGAAAAAAAAAAATAAGAAACGATCAGGTCGACCGGTACCGACGACGACGACCTCGCGACCAGATGAGAGATCCTCGAACGATCTCCTCTTCTCGATATTTTTGATTGTACCGGTCCCGATCACTATCTACTATTCATCCATCCGGCTAGTTAAGAGGATGGTACCTGTCTGCCAGTGTAACTCGTGGTGTGGCATGGCATGTGCTGGAATTGCATGGCTAAGTCATAAGCGGGGCCTCTACTCGATTGGTAGTGGTGGTCATGGTGTCGAAGGTAGTGATGATGATGATGATGATGATAATAATGATGATGATGATGATCATGGAGGTGGAGAAGATAAAGAAGAAGCAAAAAAAGAAGAGAAAAAAAACAGGAGAATTAACAATAATGATAAGGAATAAATAAAGAAAAAAAAAGCGAGGAAGAAATGAAAGAAAAGAGAAAGATAAAAAGTGGAGAAGAAATAAGAAAGGAAGATTGGAGTTTGAGAGTGGGGGGAGGAAGAGGGCCTTGGCAGGGTGAGAGAGAAGAGGAGAAATCAAAGTGGGCCAGTGGCCAGGTCACGTGGAGGAAGGGGTCCAACGTGCACGACATCGACACACTGTCCTACTCATCGCCTTGACTTTACTTGGCGGCACTTCTTCTCCCTCACATCTGTCGCGTCCATTCAGGAAAAGCTTCCCCAATGGCAATATTGCCTCTTAAAGTAATATTTATATGTATTCGAAAGGAAACAGTCAGACGCTGTAAAATTGATTGCTTATTTATTTCTCGAAGCTTATCTCTGAGTTCTCTCATTTTTACTTTTGTCTGTATATTTGCAATGCAAAATGAGCGAGGAGATGCAAAAGTGGCTTCTTTGTTTGGCCAACTTCTTGTGGAAAGTACTTTTTTTTGTTTTATTTACCACTTTTGATTCTTTTTTTTTTTCTTTAATTAAAGTGAATGAATTTAAGTATCAAAATAATAAAATTAATATTTTAATTATTATTTTGTAAAAATTTATTTATTTACAACGAGCTGTTCTTTTTTGTACAATTGTCATCATTTCTCTAAGGATATCAAATTGAGACAAAAAACAAATTAAAAGTGTTGGCTACACTTTTAATTCGTTTTTTGTCTCAATTTGATATCCTTACTCTCTAAAACTGAATCAGTGAAATTTGACTGATTTTCAGTGACTCTATTCTCGCGATTTGAATCAGTGAAATTTTACTGAAGATCATCAGTTAAAAATGATTGAAATTTCAGTCATTTTTCACTGATTGGCTAATTAAAAAATTACTGAAATTTTCAATATGTGTGACAGAAATTTTCAGTAGTTTTTTAATTGACGAATCAGTGGAAAATTACTGAAATTTCAGTTATTTTTAACTGATTTTTAGTGAATTTCCACTGATTCAAATCGCGAGAATAGAGTCACTGATTCTCAGTCAAATTTCACTGATTTTCAGTGGAATTTCACTGATTCAGATTTAGAGAGTATACACTGTAAACAGAAAGTTCTAAATTAGAGCTAATTTCGGGAATTAAAATAGAACCAAATTACGATTTAGTACCAAAATTGTCACAGGTCAGGGAAAATAGAATTGGTCAGAAAAATTAGTGGTTGTCTACTAACCGGAAAATAGCCGGGAATTAGTTAAAAATAATTAATTTGATAGTAAAAAATCAGTCACTGATTCAAATATATATATATAGTATGTAAAGAAATTTAAAAAAAATTATCGAATTAAAAGAAATTTTGTGAAATTCAACAGAAAATAATTAAATTTGTTAAAGAATTTCATTAAAAACTTTTTAACAAATCAAATTTTCAAAGTATTTTAATTTAATAATAAATTGATGAATAATTGAATTTTATAAAGAGTCACATTCTAATGAATTCATATTTCTTAGTGCGAAGATTAATAATTAAAATTTTTGTTAGTTAATTTAAAAAAAAGATACACATTTAAAATTTTTTAATAGAATTGAATTTTCGCAAAGATTTTTTGAAAATTCTGAAAAATAAGATTGTTGAATTTTTTTAATTCTGTTGTTTCAAGATAATTGAATTTTTATAAAGAAATAATTGAAAATTTTTGAAATAATTGAAATTTCTTTACATAATATTAAAAATAATTAACTTCTTTTAAAGAATTTTATTTAAATTTTTCGAAAATAATCAAGGGAAGTTAGTCACCGTAATTATAAATTTATTTTTAAAAATTTTTTCGCAATATATTCAATTATTTTCATAAATAGTAAAACTTATTGCAGAATTTCAATTATTTTTAATACAATTTTAATCGAGTTTCTCGAAAAATGTAATTATTCTTAAAAATTTTGTTAAAATTCGTCCAAAGAATTGAATTATTTCTAGAAACTGTAAATAAATTCTTCTCAAGAATTCAATTATTTCCATAAATAGCAAAATTCTTCAGATTGACTAAAATTCTATTGAATATTATTTTTTAAAAAAATTCTTCACAAGAATTCAATTATTTTCATAAATTTCCATAAAATTCTGAAAAAACAATTCAATTATTTTCTAAAGTAATAAAATTCTTCGGAGAAGTTCAATTATATTTAAAAATTATTGCAGAAATTTAATTATTTTCAAAAATTTTAATAAAATTCTTGAGAAAATTTCAATTATTTTCAAAAATTTCCAAAAGAATTCAATTATTTAAAAAAAATTTTGATATAATTCTACGCTGAAACATTTAATTATTTTAATACATAATAAAAGTTTCAAACGAATTCAATTATTTATTAATTTTTTTATAAAATTCTTTACAATAATTCAATTATTTTCATAAATAATAAAATTCATTGATGAATTTCAATTGTCTTTTATACAATTATAATTGAATTTCTCAAAAACTGTAATTATTCTTAAAAATTTTATTAAAATTCGTGGAAAGAATTCAATTATATTTTAAAATTTTAATAAAATTCGTTGCAAGGATTCAATTATTTTAATAAATAAATAAAACTCATGGCAATAATTCAATAATTGTAAAACACAATTTTACAAAATTGTTCAAAAATATTAATTATTTAAAAAGATTTTTATAATGAAATTCTTCGAAGAAGTTTAATTATTTTCAAAAATTTCCCTCAATTTAATGATTTTCAATAACTACTATTTTAATTAAACTTTCCAAAAGATTTCAATTATTTAGAAAAATTGTATTAAAATTCTACACAAAAACTTAATTATTTTCATAAAAAACAAAAATTTCACAGAAATTCAATTATCGGGAAATTTTTTATAAATTTCTTCGCAATAATTCAATTATTTTTGTAAATAATAAAATTTTTTTAAAGGGATTCAATTATTTTCAAAAGTAACAACATTCAATTCAGTATCCAATTATTTTTGGAAATTAAAAAAAAATTCTAGTCTAAATTTCAATTATCTTGATGAATAATAAAATTGTTCTTCGTAATTCAATTATTTACAAAAATTTTAATAAAATTCTTGTCAAAATTTCAATTAAGTATTTTCAAAAACTGTTCCAAATTCAATTAATTTCAATTTCTGCTATTTTTATAAAAGTTTTCGAAAGAATTAAATTATTTAAAAAAGTTTTTTGATATAATTCCACGCAAACATTTAATTATTTTCATAAAATAATAAAAATTTCACAGAAATTCAATTATTTTTAATACAATTTTAATTGAATTCAATTATTTAAAAATTTGTTGATAAAATTCTATATAAGAATTCAATTTTAAGAAATATTCAATTATTTAATAATTTAAGTAGTTGAATTTAAATAATTGAATTAAAATAATTGAATTTCAGTAATTGAATTGAAAGAATTGAATTCAAATTAAATTCTTGTAGAAAGTTCTAATAAAAATTGGTTTAAAACTGAATTTTAGTTAAAACTTTAGATAATAATTGAATATTAAAAGCATTAAAGCGTTAATTTTTAGAAATACATAATTGAATTTTGAAAAGGTTTTAAATTGAAATCGTTGAAAATTTGTATTTTTCATATTGAATTTTACAGCAATTGAAACAGATGTTCTATTAAGAATCAACTCAGCACTTAGAGCAAGTTACACTTCCGATTATTATTATTGCATGGAGCATTTAATGCGGAAAAATGATTACCACGACTATGACCATATCTTTAAAGAGTTTAATTCGATTTACTCAATTTTCCTCTTCTCATTTCATTTTGCAAAAGGCAATTGAATTTCTCGAATTGAATTGGAATGAAATTCATTTGATTGTCCATTGAAAACTGTTGTTAGCGCTGGGATTTCAAATAATCTTCTTTTAACTGAAGATTTCATGACTTTTTTAATAGTCAATTTCATTTCTTTCGGTTTTATCGAAATTGTCTATTATCCTCTCTTGTATAAAATTGAAATTCAGCGAAATCGTAATATCGAAAATTTGTGTAAAACAAAGGTTTTTAAAAATTTTTATCTGAGTTTCGAATAAGAATTATTTCCCCAAAAATTTATTTAATTTATTTCTCCCCAAAATGTAGAGATAAGATTTTCACTCAAAATTTAGAGATAAAATTTTCCTCCGAAATTTAAAGAAAAGATTTGTCCCCAAAATTTGGAGAAACGATTTGCCCCAAAAATTTATTTAATTTATTTTCTTCCAAAATGTAGAGAATAGATTTTCACTCAAAATTTAGAGTTAAAATTTTCCTCCAAAATTTAAAGAAAAGATTTGTCCCCAAAATTTGGAGAAACGATTTGCCCAAAAAATTTAAAGAAAATTTTTACCCCCAAACTTTAGAGAAAAGATTTTCTGTCAAAATTTAAAGAAAAGATTTTGATCGGAACTGAAGCAAAAATAGAGAAAGGGAATAAATGGTTTCAAATAGTATTATTAATTATTAATTTGTTTCTAAGTTATTAATTGTTATTAATAAAATGATTAATTAATTATTAATTAATTATTTATTAATTCTTTGCTAATTATTATTTATCTAGAAGATTTATTCAGATTCAGTAGGTGTTGATTTTGATAAATTGATGATTTGGAAAAATTAGTGATTAATCATTTTGTAGTTGAGAAAATAATTGTAGAAAATGATTCTTGATTGATAGAAGCATGCAATTTTCAACAGAGTAATTAAGATAATAATTATTTGCTTGTTTAGAAAAAAATTAGGAAACAAATTAATAATACTATTTGAAACGATTT